CAGCCACTAATCGTTTCCACTGGGTCCTGCAGGGCAACAACAAAGTCTCCCAGAATTTGTATGCCAATCTGTTATTTCGTTTGATTGCCTCTTTAACTAAATTTCCTTGGGTTTTTTTTGAGAGCGCAGCTTTCATCTCTCTCAAAATGGGGCACTTAGCAGCTGACTTGCTTGTGACCCAGGTCAAGCTTTGAAAGCAGAAGCTCGCCACTGATTGCTAAAAACAATAGGCCTGCTTCTTTTATTTTATTTTTTTACTTCTGGTTGGGTAATAGGCAATTTAATCATATTCATTGGACAGCATGTTATTTATCCAGCTGTATGATTTTCCACATAGTTATTACAATTCACACTAAAAATCTGCAAATATACCTCTTACAGTTAATCCTTTAAACAGTATTTTCCTGTTAAGGTTTAAAATAACAGCTTTTTGCTGTATTTACAAAACGGTAGAAAACTGTCCATTTCAGCAACAGCAATATACCGTTAAATTTACATTAACTTCCTGGCAACCCTACTGCCAGTTATTTACCGTTTTTTTAACAGTGGCATTTCTAGGAGTGTAGGCAAACACAAAAAGGTATCCAAGGCACTCTGTTCTGTTACAAAATATTAAAAGCCTTGATGAAGGCTCTGATGAGCTGAAACGTGACGATGTGCCACACGTTTCTAACTTTACTCGTAGCCATGAATTAATAAGGGCTTTTTAACTTTTGTAACAGAACAGAGTGCCTTGGTTACCTTTTTGTGTTTGCCTACTTTACTCAAGTGATATGTATGGCCTATTGTTTTCATTGTTTCATTCCACCCTCCTCAAAGAGCACCTCTGTTTGTTGGTCAGCTTGATTAAGGACCCACGCAGGGCTCCTTACCATTGATGTTTTTTTACAAATCAAAATGGATTATTGGAGTTATGCTGGGCTGGGACTTGCCATGATTGCTTAAATCTTATGATGTATTGAGAATTCTAGTTAATTTTAGTTTGATTAAAACAGTTCCTGTTTACTATATACCAACAGGTTTCTATCGGTGGTATTTGTACTATGAAGAAAACTTAAGGCTTGTTGATTCTCAGGCAAGTTCTACGTTGATAAAGAAGCATCTTTTTTCTTATTATTCTTATACAGATGAATGATTTGTTTATGATTACATCGGAGATAATGACCAAATATATCTTAAGTTCAGACTTAACTGCCAACAAGAAGTGAAATTATAAATAGATGGTATTTTACAGAAGGAGGACTTGTTCGCCCTTGTTCGTTTGTCTTACATTGGAGTTACTCTCTTTATAACACGCTGGGGGTGAAGGAATATTTTGACGCAATTAGTGGGACGACCAACTTGAAAAACATGAACATGATATTAGTAATGTAAAAAGACCTTTTGATCTATTTTTGTTTCTATGAGCTGTTGACAGCCATGGCATGAGATATTTTATTTTCAGGTTGTCCATCCTTCCATCTAGCCATCTCTCCCATTCTTGGGAAAGTGATATCAATACGCCATGAGGGTATTGCTTTAGATTTGGCACAAATTCCCGCTTGAATTTAGGGATGCAGTGATTTGATTTTGGTGGTATCAATCACTATGACCTTATGCCCATCCTATTCTCCTGAGCCCTTCCCTTCATAAATCCTTTTTATTCCTCTGTTTTAGTCTCTGAGAAACAACTATCACCTCATAAAAAAAATCTCATAAAACATTGAATTGATTCATCCAACGTCTTCACTTCGTATAAGTGTGGACAGATATGGATAATAGCTTCAACTTCAATTGTTGGTGGATGTATACAATTGCAGAGCCACAGAAATCAAAGCGAATCAAATAAAAGAGATATTAATCCAGAAAGGTCAAAGGCAAAATTCTCAGACAGTCTTTAAAGTTGGTCTTATTGAGATGGTAGCAGTACTCAGAGAGAACATTTTTAATTTCCTATTGTTGGGCATTAGGCATCTCACACAGGGAACCGAGTGGAGCTGTGTGTTGAAGCTTATCGTGTTTGAAGAGATGCAGGTACACTGATCTGTGTTAATAACACAGCGGTAAGAGCCGCTCAGCCAGCCAGCGGTTACGGCCTGCCAGCGTATTACCAGGGACATCACGGATCAGACTGCATTTGGCTCCGCTCAGCCTGCTCTCATTAGAACAGACATCCTACAGGAGACCCTGCTGGTCATATACAAGCTGCCCTTTAAAGTTCGGTCAAAGAGCATCCCGGAGAGCCTCGCAGACAATGCTCGTCAGATAACTGCCAGTAGAAATATTAAGTGATACACCGTTTTCATTATTCAACTTGGTTACACCAAAACCAAAGGAGAAGCTGAACAGTCAGAGAAATGCTAGAAATATTCCACAAGATGTGTTTCAGTTTCATTGGATGTTTTTAGCCCCAGTATGTTCCAGTTGTGGCCTGTTTGTACTTCAGTCGTGGGATCTCTGACTCTCATTGGTAATCTTATTTTCATCAGTTTGCAGAAAAAAAACTCTAATTTATACCCTGCCAAAAAGTCTCTCCCAGCTTCTTGGAGCATGAATAGAGCTGAAGCGTTAAATATTTCAATAAACAAGTAGATGTTAAATATTTCATGCGCAGAAACGATTGATATGAACTGAAACTACCCGATGAAACATTAAAGACCCTGTGTCCATCTGAAATATACAGATTCACTGGTTTTCTCTGAGCATGGCTAATGTTGTGGCCTCTTTAGCTGCATTCAAGACAGAAATACACGCAACACTGTCATGATTGTGTGTTCATTCATACATCATGAAAAGGACGGACATTTGCTTAATGGGAATCTGTTTTTCTCCTCCTTCATTTCACCCTGACTCTCCACTCCTTTCTCACCCAACACTGCTCCTCCTCTCACTGGGGTTAGCACTGGAGAGAAAACACTGCACAGGATTTCAAAGTGTAATACCCCTCCCCCCCCCCAAAAAAAAAGAAAATAAAGAAAAAATGGAAAGAAACCCTATAGATTCCAGAGTGTGGGATGTCTCTGCAGGATTAGGGAGTAATAGAAGAGGGGTTTATCTCCTCTTTTAACGCAGCTATGTCTTTCTACAGGGACAGAGCCCTTCAAAGTTTTTTCTCTCTGCGTATACTTCAGTACTGATTTCCTTTGATAAAACACAGTACTCCTCACTAGTGTACAAATCCCAAACTTAATTACTCGCTAAAATGAAAATGAACTCACTTATTAAGATATTGCCACATATTTGCCCTTAAGTCTTTTTCATTTCTAATTAAATTCTACCAAGATTTCTCAACTTTCTTTGTGCTTTAAGTATTATGAAGTAGTTAGAAAATGTGGAATAACAAAAAATATGTTTTTTGTGGGGTTTAATTTGCAACTGTTTTTACTGAAAGTTTCTCCTGACTAATGAACATAAATGATGTTTTATCGTCTCAATCATACAGGATTTTTGTTGATGTTAATTCTGCATCTTTAAAGCCAAATAAATTAGTTTTTTATTGGATTTTCTGAGTTTCATCTGCAGAATATTTAAGCTTCAAATAAGTGCAAGAAGTTAAACCAAGTAAGCCCTAGGTCTTAATTATTTTGTTGGCTTGACGATGTCAGTGCTGGAGGAGGTAATTCTAGACTGACAGACTCAGTTTACAGCTACTTTGGCACAGTTCCAAGGCGAAATAAACATTGCAAAACTTCGTTAAAAAAACAGCAATCTTACATTACAAAAGAAAATACAAGGATAAAAATCCAGGCAAGGCAAACAGTTAAAGGGGTAACACTGAGGTGAAATCCCATATCCAGGCTAAGGTTAAAATAATAAATACATTTGAAAGACAGAAACTCTAGAAAGCTAGGGTTAACACACTCAAAAAAACCCAGGCAGAGGGTTGTGAAAGTGAACTGGTTAAATGAGCTGGGAGCTAATCAGGCAATAGGTAACAGGTGTGTGATGGGAATGGACAGGTGAGCAGAATATATGGGCAGAGAGGCAGGCAGCTGTGAGTGACTGGGTCGTGACATACTTGGTGATGGGGTGGCTGTGGCTCAGTAGTGGATTCAGTCGTCTCTTAACCGAAAGGTTGGGAGTTTGATCCCAAGCTCCTGCAGCGACATGTCCTATGTGTCTGTGGGCAAGACACTTAACCCCTAGCTGCTCCCATTGGAGCGGTGTATGAATGGGATAAGTTAACACTGATGGAAATCTAACAAAGCAGCCTCTGCTATCAGTGTGTGAATGGGTGTAAAAGGGTAGATGTGGTGTAAAGCACTTTGAGTAGTCAGAAGACTAGAAAAGCGCTATAGCTCAAATCCGTTTACCATTTATGCACCTGTATAAAAAGTCAAATAGATGAACAATGCTCACATTTAATCCTGCAGAGTTTAAGATAATGTGACACACATTTTCCAATAATGTAACTTGAAATTTTATTTTGCTTGGCCATCACTAAAAAAAAAAGAAGACTTTTTTGTTTTAAATATCTGCAAGCTAGTGGTGTGTCCTTGACGTCTGCCCATTTACATGTATCTGACATGAGTCACCTCTGACACTATACTGTATATAATAATGTAATACAGAAAACAATGCTTGGGAGGATTTAGAAATGGTTTTATGATATGTTTTATGTTGACAAAGCACGCTCTGACTCCATAATAAGCACGCTCTGACTCCATAACCATACAGTATTCTCAACAATGTTTGCATATGTAGCAGAACATCAACAGAGTGTGGTCTACAATATTTGATTAAAATGTAGAACAATTTTGAAAATTCAAAAAGTTATTTAAGAAATTGTCTTTTGCAAAGACTTATTAATTCATAATCTGTGTTCAATTTATTCTAACAATTCCAGATGCGTTAACAGTTGTCAGTGAAAATTGGTATCCCAAGAGCTAGTTTCAACCAACACCAAATTGATGCTTTACTACTGTTGCATAAAAGACAATAGATCAATAAAATGCAACACTTTTATTATCATACTGCCACATGAATGTCAAAAATCATATGTATATATCAGTAATCCTCATTTACATGTAACTCCAGCATTCATAGAGCCTGTTAATTCGGATGACGTCGATCTTAGACAGGCCTTCTCTCAGCCCGATGGGAACAGAGGCGTCGGGGATGGGGGTTATGGTCTCTGCTCCATGACGTCCAAAGGCAGTCCTACAGATTTAGAAATTGGTGAAGATGCAATGAATAACTCAGAGATGTGCTTCTAGAAAGAAAGAAAATATATATATATCCAGCGTTTGTTCTACTTACTTTCCATAGTGCATTACAGAGGAGTAGTCATACATAGTGTTAAGATTATTTGTGTCTTTCTTTTGGAAGTTGATGAGATAATCTGGAGAAAGAAAATATACTCAACAGACGAAGAAATACATTCTTGATAATCAATGAATGAATGACGTTGGTTTGAGATTCTTACAGTCGTTGAAGTTTTCCCAGTGGATCTTGACATACTGGTCGCGGTCGCTACGGTTGTGTTCATGGTAGAAACCCAGCGCATGCATAAGCTCATGCTGGATGATCCCGTGCTGTACGCAACCAAACCTCTGCAGGGACACCACCTGCTTGTCTCCAATACGACCCAGTAAAGAGAAACAGCTAACAGAGAGAATTAGAGACAGGGATAATGGATATTCATTTTGACGTTTGATTGTTAAATTAATGTAATTTACATTATCAGCAACCCTGTACATGCTGAAAATAATTGGCTTTTTGATTATGTGTCAGAATTATTATTATATTTGCTGGTAGCATAGCAGGGAGCTGAGTTTTTGCTGTCAACTGCAGCTTCATCATTTAAGCAGCAGAAAGATGGTTGTAAAGCTAAGATGTAGTTAACTGTTCTTTTGTTTAAAAAGTCTACCTGTTTAGCTCTTATGAGCTTAGGGGGTAAATTGCACGGGTCACTGGGTAGCATTTTGACCAGTTAAGTGGAAGATGGCTTGAATAAAAGAATTGCTTCTAGCATTTTAAAGCATTAGCAGGTTGAAACTTTAACAGGTGTACATGCAGGGGTGTGTCCAGACTTTTTTGACCGGGGTGGCCAACCTGGAGCACTGACTTATGCAGGGCTTGCATGAAGAAGTGGGCAAACACACACACATTCATTAGATGTTTTTTACCCTGTCTATCCTGGGGATCTATGGGGACTATAAAGGAGATATGTTCTTAGAAGTACTTAGAAGCTTGCATACAAACTCTTTTACGTTGCCAAGACAGTGTGCAGGACTTCTTTGCAATTTTTTATGGAAAGAGTATGCAAAGAATTTATTTAAAACTAAATTTACAAAAAATATATACTTCATTGACACCTGAAAGAAAACTACCAGCAGCAGTTGAACACAGCCAGAATAGTTATTTTTAACTTAACTCCTCCCTCTGATTAGACAAATAGCCCATGCCACCCTTTGCCACCCATCTGGCCACACCCCCATGTACATGGATAGTTCTCAAGACAGTAGGCCCATGACACATGTATGTGAAAGAACCCAGGAGATAGAAAGCGATAGTAGCAGACGTTATCTTTGTTTACTTCTTTGAAGTTGTTTTGCTTTACTGTCTTTTCACAGCTCTTTTTATTTGGACCCCTAGTTGTCATTTTGCATCCTTCAATAGTCCTGATGCTTCTAGTTGTCACGATAACGGAATCAAACAAATAACTGTAGAACTTTTTCACAAGCTTTGATACTTTTCAGCTCTATTAATCAAAAAAATAATGGAGATTGTATAGTTTTAAATCATCTGGTATTAAAAAGGATCAAAGTATTTAAGATTTTGAAAACCTTACTTGACTGTCTTTATGGTTTGTTTAGTATATTTTAGTTTTTTCCTTTGTATGTACACATAGTTGATTTTAAACTCTTTGTTTTGATTTCTATCTTTCTAGTTATTTTTCATTCATTGCCTCCTTCTGCTCTTCATATACATTTAAAGTCTCTCTGAGTCATATTGCTCCTCTTTGTAATAAGTTCACATCTTTATATAAACATTTTGATGTTTGTGTTCTCTTTGTTAATGTTATGCACACTTTGAAGTTTTCTGATTCTTTTTGTTGTCATTTTGCATCTTCTGTAGTCGTGTTTTGCCTCTCTGTGATGGTTTTGCATCTCTTTGTAGAATGAAAAACTGTTATAATTATAATTTATTTTAGAATCTACATTCACGACTTAAATGTAAGCTACAACCTTTTGTACTTTTTTGTCTCACATATGCGAGTGCTTTTGTCATCAACTCACCCAAATTTCGGTTCGATGCTCAGGTACATCCTCTGAGCTGCGCGTGGAATGAAGCGAATGCAGGTTCGGTATCCAAAGTCCTTCATTGCATTCAAAATCATACTCCGCTCATTGTTGTCTAGAAATTTGAACAAAAGGGTTAATTGTAGACCAGTCATGAAATATGTGAATTTCAGAATCCAGGTCCTTTGATGTATTACCTCTAAAATTGAAACCTACCATACTTATCGCTTATAAGGAACGGGATTTCTACATTCCCGTTTGCAGACTTTGGCCACAGGCATGAATACGCTTTATTGAAGCACTTCATAGCACTTCTGGTTTTTGAAATCAGCACGTCTCCTTCCAGCAGATGATCTCTGGTTCCTGTTGGGAGAATGAAAATAAGTGTTTTAAATCTATCTGGCATGATATCATGAAGACAAAGCAGGTTATCCAAATGTGTTTTCAGAGATCCCTTCCATTATGTATGAGTTCTGTCATTGAATATAAGACCATCTGCTTTCATATTGGAAGAAACCAATGTTCCCTCGTGTTCTTGTAATATCATGGTTGAATACTCACCATTGTTCATCCTCAGAATAGTTGTGGTAATGTCCTCATTGTCCGACGTATTCACTGAGATATCTAATCAATGGAAGCAAAGCTGAAGTGAGAGAACTCCATTTTCTGTTACACACAGTGTCATACTTGATAGATTTGGTTTGTGAGATTGGGCTTCAAATGCATACATTTGTAAAGTTTGGTGACTTACCTTTATCAGCGCCCTGATCCTGCAGACAAATGGAGAGAAATATACCACTTTGCTTTATTTAACTTAAAATAGTCAATCGCAATGATTTAAGATCTGAAATTAATGCATTCATACTTTTAAAACGCGATTAATCGAACACTTTTTTTCGTCCCTCCAGGTTCACCATAGATAAGCAGTTGTCTCAGTGATGGAAGAGAATGACACTAATGCATCTTTGAATGTCTCATTACTCTTAGAAAAACTCTCAGACAGCTCAGTTGACGAGTTAAAAGTAATATTCACGTTATGACATCAAACATTTCACTTTTCACCGTTCTTTTTGAACTGTTTTCACTTAAACTTTTTGATCCGTAACGAGTTCCTTTTTCAGTGGTTAAGTTAATATCGCAACTTTCAATCTACCAGAAGGTCTTTAATTTCTTTCATAATGAAAGAAAAGGTTGAATTCAAACAGCAGGTAAAGTACTCTCAGCTAAAGACTGTACAAATCCGTTCCACCCTTAATTTGAATATCTATTTTTAAATACAAAATAATGGAATTTCAAAAAATGCAATTAAAAGTGCAGTTAATTAGGATTAACTATTACAATTATTGCAATATTATAAGAAAATAATTTTAAACATAAAAATGACATTTTTGGGTCTTGTTATTCCGTTACAAAAAGGCATACTTGTCACAATGACTTTGAATCCCAACTGATGTGAAATAAGTGAGAGGTACTCACTAAAGGTTCTTGGCTGAATATTGCAATATAATGCAATTATTTGTGATAAAAAATTTAAATTTCAATACATACAGTGCATTCAGGCTGATTAGTGTGTTTGATCTTACATTATCATGATGAGCTTTACAGAGACCCAGAAGCAAGAACAGAAGCAGCAGACGAGAACCCGTCGATCTGATGTCCATTTTTCGTCTGAGGCCAGTGATGCTTGAGATATCGCTTCAGAGACCACTTGCTCACAGAGGACTGATTCTGAATCCCAGTTGGGACTGAGTTTATATATTCAGGCTGTCAGGGTGTATCTTTGTACAGAGATTAGCAGTAGGTGTTCAATGGGCTCTGTCTTAAACACACAGCTGATGGGAATGCCCTTCCCGCCCCTGCCACACTGTTGCCACACAGGGATAATCTTATTCTGGAGGGGATTACTATGACCAAAGGCTGCTGTCGCCTCGCCTAGCATCAGATTTCAGATGGCCTTTTCAACCAGCAGGGAGTCTGTGCACGAGAGCTGGGCCTGTCCCAAAGTTTGAATCCAGAAATAACAGATACAACATCTGAACAGAAAATTCCATGATCCTATTACTTTTTTTTTTCATTCATAAAGTTGAAGAAGCAAATGCAGCTTAATTTTTTTCCTTTATTTTCTTTAAGAGTTTTATCGGCTTTATTTTGAAAATATTATGAATTTTGTCTTTGATTTTGCTGTTATGTTAAATTCTTTTAATTTAACTGAATTGACAGATTCATTGACTGATCTGCTGAAGTTTGAATAATTCTTCAGAGAAGAGCCAAACATTTGTTAGTTCAAACTCCCTGAATGTGTGTCCTGTTTTTATTTGTTATATAAAGTGCCTTGCATAAGTATTCACCTGACTCAGACTTTAAACCGTTCACCAGTGATACAAACCAAAAGTAACGTAGGCTGTTATGTGCTTTTCACCGTTTGATTAACAATCCAGAGCGGTCTAAAAAAAGGCACCCATCTGTTGGATGCATTATCAACCTGAAGGCAATCCCAGTTGCACCTGATCTCACTTTTGGGTTTTACAGCAGCGACCTCAGAGCTTTTCACATGAAATCTGTACAAAGATTGAACACGTTTTAGTAGTCCCCCTTCATAATAAATTACTATTTTGTGTTGGTCCATTGCTAACAGTACCTTAAAGCATTATCAAAGGGGAAATTACATTTTTCAAGCAAGTCGAATCAAGACTTGTATTTGTGTTTGTTGAGGGAGCTGCGCCAACACTCTGAGCCTCTCTTTGGTTGGCAGCCGCTCTTTTGCAGCTCCCATTGCTGATTTTTGTAGTCAGAAAAAGTTTTGTTTATTATGCCAAAGATCAACTTAGTTCAGTATTAGTGTCTGCTTCAAGTGCTTGATCACCAACAACTTCAGTTTTAAAGATCCTATCACTGCATCTCTTCTTGAAGCCCTAACAATCTCTGTGGCCTTTACAAATCTTTGGATTTCACCAACAGCTTCTTCGTTTACACTGGCTGTATAACCTCAGTATTGTTAAGCTCCTGTATTTAATTGGTTATTTCAGATAATAATAATAATAATAATAGCCAAATTAGTGGATGCTTGTAAAGCCAGGGATGTATTATTGGAGCATCACTGATGATGTGAGTGTGAAAGGCCGACTGTGGCCACCAGACTGTGAGAAATAAAAAAGAGGCCTTCTTAAAAACTCTCAAACCAGAAAGGGGTTGTTTAGAGAGATGAGTATTCAGATTTATTGGCTGCCAGGATAATAAATCATGCGCTTCCTGTAGATTGTTTACAAGAGAAGAGGCAGGCTGTCTAGCTGCATGGGGCCATAAACAGTTTTAGGATCTGATTTTGCGTGTCAAGGCCAACGGCTTCAAACGGAGATTCCATCACTGCAACCTTTATATGATGCGAACCTTGGCTGTACATCAGAATAATGTGGCATTTATTATTGGGGTACAAAAATTCCACTGTGTGTGTGTGTGTGTTTGTTTGTGTCTTACAGAGAGCTGCATATGTGGACTCTTTTTTTTGCCAGCCCAATAAAACCCTATGGATTTTTACAGTTTATAATGTCTACATCATGCTCCTTATGCACATATACATGTGTGTGACAGAGAGAGAGAGAGAGAAAGAGAGAGAGAGAGAGAGAGATAGTTTGAGCACTTCCTGTATGCGCCTGTCCAATTCAAGTGATCTGCGTGGGTGCACAGGTAATCCAATTTGTGTTTTAGAGGCACAGCACAGCACCGGTGATGCTCAATGATGTATGACCCATCCATTTGGTTGAGCTTTACTCCTAATGCCTCTCAAACTGCAGGGGAAAGGAGATCTTTTTCAATTGAATGTCAGTCTGGAGCTGGTCATAAGAAATATATCTTAATTTTCTTCCAAACATCTGTATACTCAGTTCAGCTGAGGAGAAGCTTCAGGAAAACACAAGTTGTTTGAGTACCCGGTTCTATACCCGGTATCATTTGATCTTATTTAATATTTTCCCGTATGTGCTCTAATGGTTTCTTTATTTTTGGATTCAATGGACATAACCTCAACTATGATCTCACTTCTCCAAACCACATTTCACGATCAGTCTGTAACTGAACACATTATGGGAGGTATGAGTAGAACTTGTAAGTGTATTTTAACAATGCCAGATATTTTAAAAAGAGCTTGACTGATGTCTGAGTCTTGAGAATGAGGAACATATAGATTTTCAAAAAAAGCAGTCAGCTATTACAGAAGATTTTGGAAAAAAAAAAAAAAGCAGTCAGCTATTACAGATATATAGTGGTTGATGAAGTGATTTTTTTTTTTTTTTAGCTGGAATGAAAACTGACTCTAAGTAGACTGAATTGATTGGGTATTATTTTTTCTACGCCATGACTATGCCAATATATCTAACAGGCTGTTTTATCAATCAATATTTAATTTGTCTTGTGCCAATTCATAACAAATGTTATCTCAGGACACTTTACAAAAAGAGCAGATAAAAGACCTTACTCATTGTTATGTTACAAAAGAAAAATGGAACCGGGGGAGATGGGATAAGATGTAGGAAGAAGGACAGGGACAAACAGAGGGGAAGGGGGGGGGGTGAAGTTAAGGGTGTATTTAAGCCAATATCAGCCTGATAAAAACAGCCAACAGATATCGATCAGGCTCTTATTATAAGTGTGTCCGTTTTAGACATTTCAGGAATAAATGAACCTTAATTGTAAGAAGTCTCTTATCCAGCATTATTCATGGGTGAATATCCAGAGGCACACTGCAGAACATGCTCCCAAATATGCTTTCAGAAGTACAGTTTCCAGTTTGAAGGGACCAGCTGGGCTAGAGGGCTTGTAAAAAGAAAATAGTATCTAGTCAAGCCAACTTTGATCTTTATTCATCCACATTAAAGGTATACAGAGTTAAACAATGTTTTCTTACTGATTGGGTGCTAACAAAAATAGTGCAAACAACAAGAAAATAAACAAACCACACATAATTAAAACAAGGCTGCAAAGGTGGATGTGATGCATGATCATATCCGGTTGCAGCGCTGCAAAACAATGTTTCTCACTTCATTGTGACTTGAGCAGTATTAGAAGTGGACTTTGGTGATGGGGGAAGTGCAACAGATGGGAAGTTTTGGCACATTGTCCTTGACCACCAAAAAAGCAGTCATGGCGTTCCCGAGCCTTTCAGTGAACTAAAGTACAACTCCGTCTTTGTCTCTGACATGACGTGGGCAGCCAAGGACAACAGTCAATGAGCAATATCAATTTACGTAATGGACTATTAAACAATGTGCTTAACATTTCAAATGGCTGCACTGTTGTTCAGTGGGAGTGTGTGTGCCAGGAAGTCAGCTGCCATGATAACCACGGTGTGAAATGACATGCATTAGCCTGCTCTGCTGCCTCTTACTCACCCGTGCTCCTGCTCCTCCTACAGCCTGACACAGATGGCCTACTTACCCTCCCTACCCTCGCCTTTTGCTCTGCATGTAAAATCAAAATGAACTGTTTTGTACACTGCATTGCTCTGTGATCCCACTTGGATATTTTTACAAGCAAGTCTTTAAAAAAAGGCTACATGCTTCCTGTGTTATTTCCCCAACAGCTGAATAACTTCTTCAGGGTTAGGAGATTTTTTTTTACACATTTGTATGAAAACAAAACACGACACCCCTGTTGTCCTCTTTTCCTCTGTTTGTCCCCCTCTGAGTCAATCTGAGGAAAGTACACACGTCTTGTTCGAGCTAATTGACATGCAGACAAACAGGAACAAATACATCAAATACGAGCGCCTTCTTAATTAGAAATAATTACCAGACTTGTAAGATTTGTGTGAATAGTCATTTAAATTAGCCGTATTATTGTAGTAATGAAATTAATTAAGCCACAATCCAGCCTCACAGTTTGAGGTATAACGTGTTGATTAATTAAGGTCTGACATGCTTTATGAGTGGGATTTTTTTTTTAAAACATACGGTTAAAGGTCTTTGTGTCAAAGGAAATGAAAGGGTTTAAAAAAGATGAAGTGAAAAATAAACTCAAACTACAAATCATTTAATCTTTTAGTATTCATTTAAAGAGTATCTATTCTTGGTTCTTTGTTCTCCTCTTTTTAATAAGAGATTTAAATCATTTGGAATTTATTTTAAATAAAAAAGAAACACTTGAAATACCCCAAACTCCATATACTCATATACTCAAGCATACAGCCAGCTCTTTTCATGTATGCCTTGCTGAAGAGTACATCATAAACAATGTTAAAGGAGGGCAGAGTATGACTCATCTGCTTTGCTCACCAACATTTCCCCCCCAGCCTGTCTAGAACTGATGATGTTAGAGAAGAAAGTGGGCCGTTTCCTTTCCTTCAGGCTACTGATATAAACCCATTCTGTCTGCATTTCACTGAAGATAATATGATTATTTTAACTTTTAGATCATTTATAAAATGAAGTAGACATAAAGAAAATAACCCTCTGAACTTAAAAGCCTCATATCATTAATAACTAGAAAATGTTTGTTTTTGGTCCGTATTCCAGTTTTTCTGATACGTACAAACGCTCCTGAAACGTCCTCATAATAAGTTCATGTTAATACATGTTTTCTATTGAAAGGAAGAATGTGCAATTTTTAACATAAATATAGCAGAAACCAAGTATATCCTCTGTAAATGTCTGTCTGAGTTATGACTGTC